AATTGAATTGAATTTGATTGCGATTGAGATCGAGTATGTAGCGCCTTGAGCTTGAGGCCTTCCGTGATTCTGTTTGTTGTTAGTGTTTTGTTGCTTCGCTGTGTTAAGTGGAGCGGGGCGTGAGTGAGGGGTGAGAATGAGGGGTGAGATTGAGAGAGAGTGATATGCCATGATCATCACGAATGATGTCTCCCCCGTCAGAAAACAAGGGGGAGGTGAGTGATATTCTGTGATTTCCACCACTTCCACCACCACTTCCACCAGCACCATCAACACTGCCGCCAGCACCTTCTCAACAACGGGGGATCCCTAGCATCGTCCATAATCACGAGGTAAATGTCGAGGTTCTGACAGGCCGTCCAATATACCGCAAGGCTGGGCTGAGAACAAGGCTTAGTACCTAGATGACTAGGTAGATACATGTCAACCTTGAACCGCAGTCCGTGAAGCCTATAAACCCTTCAGAATCCTAACGTAGTCCCGTGCTTTGAGTTCGTACGAATGAATTGCGTCCCTTACTAGTTTGTGGGACATTCGGTACTCGTTTCAAAGTACATATGACCCCCCACCGCCAGTGCCACTGTCATGTTAGAACTGCCGATAGGCTGTGGGGGATCGAAAGCTGGATGTACCTAACGGATACAGCACAGGAGTAGTAGCAGAAGACGTGCAGCATGCAGTCCTGTCCGAATATATCTGGTAGGCTTGCGGTACTTCTTCATGGACTAAGCAAAAAGAGTCACGGGGCGGGGGAGAGTCTGTGAGACTGTGATGGTTTTCGGAGTTGGAATCGGTGGTGGCGATATCAATTTGGGGGGGGGGGGGGGGGGTGGAGATTCACCCGTTGTTTCTCCATTGTTTCTGGTTCCCTAGTTGTATACGTGTGTTTGGGAAGGCACGAGAAGCAGAAGAGATCTGTTCCCTTTGCTTTGCAATTGGTACACATGGCCTCATTGCCACCCCCCATTAACATGCCACTTAGATGTACGTCTTTCTCCTGGATAGTTGGGACCTTTCGGCTCTGTTCTGTTTCTTCAGTTAGTTACGTGTAGTCACCTACTAGCTCACCCGGCCTTTAGTTCCCTTTCCGCTATCGTTGTTGCTCCTACGTTTCTTCCTATCTAGATACGAGCCTGATTCTTCCATTCCTTGGGGTTGGGGGGGGGGGGGGGGCAGTGATTATGGATGGGCTTCGTCCCAGACCCCGGGCACTTTCGATACAAAGCGTGGTGCCAGGGGGCTAGATACGGATCCTAATGGTTCCTGCAGATACGCATTTTCACTACTGGAAGGCGAGAACCTTCCGTTAGTTTTGTACTTGTCCCAGAAGTAGAAACGGCTACACTACTTGCACAGAGGGCTCGGAGCCTTGAGCGAACGTATCCCATGGAGCTTCCCTTCCCATGTGCTGGCTCTTATCCAACATATACCGAGATGACGGAGAGCACGATAGAGATAGAGGAGGGGTATTTAGCCAATTAAGTCTCTAGTGCATGGTTTAAATACTTAGAGACCCTGCCTGTTGAGAAGCGTGGGGCGCGGTCGTGGCCGTACGGTGTGGGAACTGGCGGGCGCGGACATTGGTCGAAAAACGGGAGGAGAGTTGGAGCCGAGTGATAGTCTGTGATCTAACTATGTTTTTTTTGTGTTTAATTGGTAAATGTCTATAATGCCACGGCTTTTTGTCATATATATCTAGGGTACCATGTATGGCAACCAGCACATGCAGCAAAATTCTAACCCTAACTAGGCATAACTAACCAACTAACTAATTCAATTCCGTAGTCACTACGGTGTTCAATACAGTGTAAGTAATCAATTGTAAACCGTAGTCACTACGGTGTTCCATACAGTGTAAGCAGTCAACTGTAGACCGTAGTCACTACGGTCTACTGTGTAACGTAAGCAATCAACTGTAGACCGTAGTAACTACAGTCTACTGTGTAACGTAAGCAATCAACTGTAGACTATAGTAACTACTGTCTACAGTGTAACGTAAGCAATGAAAAGAACACCGTAGAGTCTATGGTCAACTGTGTAACATCAGTGCTAATGTTAACTACATGTATGGTTATTGGCAACCAGTGCATGCACCAAGTATCCCACGACTTCACTATCAATAGAAAAATAAATAAAAACAGCTGCAAATTTAAATGTGATTTTTAACTGCCATTTTAGAGAGTGCATTTGGTATTTTCTATTGCCAGCAGCAATCAACTTTCCTGCTTGAGTACAGTCCCCAAAGGTGGAGCGAAAAATAGCAGAAAATTAGAGAAAAATTACCCTAAAGCTGAACTTCTTTTTAATTTTTTTATTTCACAGTTTTGTCCATGAAACTCAGGTCTTTGTTTATGGTATCCTAGATATATATCACAAAAGTCCGTGGCATTGTAGACTTTTACCGTTGTTTAATTCATTGTGATCCAACCTGAAATAAATTCAAAAAAAGTGCATGATTGATAATGAGGGGGCGCAACTAGCTAAAAATATGCGGAAGCTTGGTTTTATTGAATTCAATGTAAGAAGAGGGTCGCGAGCCCATCCACCATCTATTATGTGTTTAAAAACCATTAGGTAATCATAATATAATGGGTGCGGAGGTTATCAGCTTCCCTATATCCACAATACGTATGACTCCAGTCTCTTGAGTCCCTGAGTCCCAACACGACACAAACTGAAAGAACTGACAAATACAGAAACATATGGCGAGAAAAAACTAACTATAATGTTCAATTCCTCGCCGACTATCAAATAAGTTTACACACGATGTCCAAACAAACTTCCATTTCCCTAGAAGTCCAGGGCCCTCTAATGGACAATACTAGTACTAGCCGTACCCTGATCCATCAAGCGGGGCCATATTACCTCTTGATCGAGATTATAACTACATATGCGTCACCGGCCTACAACCACAGTTAATACAATCCCAGCCCAGTCTTTCTCTCGTTCTTGGTTTCCCCCGGTCGCCGGGCCTATTATAAATCGATCCCTTAATTCTCCGCTACAAAATGTCAGCACTGGGTCACCCCACTAGTAAAAATAAAAAAAGGGGGGGGAAAGAAGGGAAAGGAAATCATCAACACGAGTGACATTCTATGACGCCAACCCAACCCAACCGCGTCGATATATGGGTGTCGTTATCAGTTCTCATAGTGGTAAAGACTAGGCAACCAATAACGTTAAACACGAAGATCCAGTATACTGTCGACTATCTATCCTATAAGTGATTCCTAAGTACTCGTATTTTCTTGACGTTCCGCTATTGCATCCCATACAAAATCATTGTCATAGACTACGGTCTGCATACAATTAATGAATTAAACAAAAAAAAAAATCCCATACAAAATCGTCGACTTGGCGCGCTTTTATATGGTATGCAATAGCCGTTGCGTCTACAAACGTCAGGAAAATACAAGTATAGGCCGTAGGATAGTATAGAGGGGGGATGCATGTAAGTTGTTCACTAGAAATGGCTGTCTCAACTTTTAATCCCTAGACGTAAGACCACCTCCAAGCTATGGCGCGAGATGAAGTAGAGGGCTGTCTGGCTGGTGACACTTTGGTTGGCCTTTTCTTTTACTGCTACCCAGCACTAAGTGAGGAGTTATTAAAAGAGAGACTATTGCCCTTTACCCCTCCTTGGTGGTATTTTCTCTATCTAACCCCCACTCAATCCATACCGAGTGATAATCTATGACCATATATCATCACTTTACGCTACATACTCGCATGTCAAGTATGTTTTTGCGCAACCAGCAAAACACACAGAATCTCGAGAGCTTTCCCATCTCCCCTGAAATTATGCATCTTTTATCTAGACACCTGAAAGACTCTACAGGCCACTTTTAGGCCATATCCATAAAGAACGAGGCGAAGGGTGTCTTAAAAGTCCTTTTAGTGCTTTCCTCTCTACCTTTACCAGTATCTCAATTAGGCCGAGAGTTTGAAGCATGAATCTCCTTTATCGAAATTATACTATACTTGGTCGTTGCAGTTTTGGTATAACTATGGGACTTTTTACGAGTTCGATTTTTGGTGTGTTTTGCTGGTTGGGCACATAGTTGACAAGCGAGCACATATCAAGCATCACTATACGTATCACAAGCTCTACCACACTACACCCCACCAATCACGAACCCGGCCAAGTAATCATTGATACACACAGGGTCCCAATTTACTAGATAATAGTAATATAATAATCCGCCACTTATATTTAACCTCCATCCTGGATATCCCTACTGGCAATAAGTACCGCCAGGTACCCCCCATGCATGTATATATAGTCTTACAAAAAAATATGAACCCGCTTTTAAAACAAGTACGCTCGCCGAAAAAAATGAAAAAGAATAAATGAGGATATTGAAGCTGAAGATGAGAATGGCAAAAAAGCCAATCATATAAAAGCAAGAAACAGGAGAACGCCTAATGTCAACGCTACCCGGCCCGATTTTATACATAATACGCGTAAACAAAGAAAAAACAAAAACAAACACATGAAGAAGACCAGAGGGTCCTGTGTTATGCCCGAAGAAGAAGAAAAAAAAAGGAAAATCATAAAAAACTCCCCACCGCCCTATCATACTCCGCCCCCGCCTGCCTGCCTGCCTGACCGCCACCGAAAAAAAATCCAAGAGACCACTCTACGAATGAAAAGTACAAGACCAAAAACTATGAATAAACCTTTTCTAAAAGTAGAAGGGAAAAAAAACAAGCCACCTTCTAACCATTCCCAATGCTGATAATACTGAATGAAGGACACGACGGAAGGAAAGAAGTAAGAGAAGGTATATAAGCGTGAACCAAAAAGAAAAAACCATTAGAAAGGAGTGAAGAACAACCACAAACACAAAAAGATACCGTAATAACAGCCGCCCCCCCTATCCATGACAAAGGAGAGAAATATAAACAAATGAACATAAGACAAATATACCGGATATCAAATCTACAAGACAAAGGAGATGTGTGTGGTAGCAAGAAGTGAAGAAGGAGATCAGATTAGATCAGAAGCTAAAAAGCCCTGATCGTTTCTTTCCGAACGGATACACCACCAGTGCAGCCGCAAACAACCCCACCGAGATCCCGATCGCGATCTGAATCATCGAGAAACCCATATCCATCACCACGCTCGAAAACTGGCTTTGCGAGGCGGTGCCGTTGTTTTTGATGACTAGGTTTGCGTTCTGGATACCAGAAACCAAAGACCCCTGAGCGGCGAGACCAGAAGGAACCTGTACAAAGATGGCTGGCAACATCGCAGCGAAGGCGAGTCCGTGCCCAACACGGGAGTACATGTTTCCGAGTATACCAACGGTGAAAGCGCCCATTGCGTTGGATACCTGAGGCTGAGAGGCAAATCTCCGGCTGGAGAAGAAATTCACAACGTACCCAGCCGTAGCGATAGCGATCATAACTGGGGCTTGCTTCCAGCGGGCTTGGTTGGCCGTCAGGAGACACCATGCGAATGGCGGCACAAACAAGAAGTTATATTGCCAAGGCAGGGGATTCTCGCATGTTGTCGCCGATGTGGCATTCTCGTCGAAAAGGCCGTACAAAGCAGATCCAATGGTGATACCGAAACCAAGAAAGAGGGAGTAAACGATAGCGTAAAACATTCGAACAGATCCAGCGACTATATTTTTTGATTGAAGCTCTAGTGAGCCCATTAAGATGATGTAACCGGGTAATATCAATGCGATTGAAGCCTGCGCCAGTGCCGAAAAACAAAACACTTTACCTCCTCGAATGGAACCGAAAGCTCTTGCGAGGAAACTTGTCAAGATAGCAGCCGAGATCTCAAAAACATTAGACTAGAAGCAAAAGACTTGTTAGCTAGATATCCATATAGTCGCATTGAGACGCACTTACGTAGAGCTCCGAGTTTGGGGCCACGACGAGTTGCAAGAATCCAACAATACATCCAAGAAGGAACAGAATTGGCATGTCAATGAGTCTAGCCTTGAAACCAAATGGTCCCACCACGGCACTTGCAATACCGTATACTGGAACCAAGGTCCATGGGTTGTGCTTAGGCTTCCTGTTCATGACATCATTCAACCTTTGGGTTGCCTCCTCGACGCCGATAATGTCGTGGACAACCTCTTTATAAACCAGATGTGTATCATGAAGCTTCCCTAGATCAACTCCCTGATTGGTTCGGACAATCTGCATGTCGGAAGTATGTGTCGACGAGTCACCAAAGGAGACAATCATGCACCCCGGAATATACAAGAACTGGCCATCGATTTCGAGAACACGAGACGTCATCTTCATGTATTCCTCCAGGCGATGTGTGGGGGCACCATAAAGCATCAATGCCCTGCAAAGCTTCAGAATATACTTTTGTCTCGCCAAAGTCTCGGCAATGTGAATAGTGATCTGCATGACAGGAAACGCGTTAGCATATGTCGTGGTACCTGATCTGCATCAAGCAGGGCAGCCGAGAAAAAAATAAAAGTAAAAAAGCAAATAACTACACGTTGTAACGTACCTTAATCTCATTTTCCAGGTTTGCATTCGCCTTTGAGAAATTCTTTATCGCACCCACAACGCCACCGCTGTGTGGCCTATGTTTCGGTTTCGGGCGTACGTTTTTTCCCGCCGATGAGCCGGCAGCCGGCGATGCTATTGCTCCTGATGCCGCGAGAAGTCCGAGCGACGTCGATGAGGTATTTGCGCTCTTGTTGTACCATTTTGGTGTTGTCCTTCCGGAGGCTGTTGGGCTGCCAGCTGTACTTGCAATACTTGGTGCATAATGAGATGTGTTAGAGCTTGCTTGGGCCGGGTTGTATAGCTTCAACAAGCTGCTCAAAATACCCCCACGAAATTGCTCCGGTGGCTTCACGTAGTCCTCGTGCTGGAGAGCGACTGGTGTAACTGCTCCTGACCTAGGCTCAAATCCTGATTCTGTACTTCTTCTGGGCATCATTGGCCTCAATACACCAGCCGGACCCCTTTGTGTGTGCTGCCTGACGAGGTCATGGGCCTCTTTTGTTGCCCTAATTTTTGGTCGGTCTGCCTTTCCGTCCACGGCGGTATCTGTAATGGTAGCCCCAAGATCCAACAATGGAATATCATCGACCGGAACACCACCCTGAACCTGTCCAGCTCCAACACTGTATGTATTAAGCGGGTTACTCGGGCTAAGAATGGGCGATGTTTGTGCTGATCCCGGGGCAGAGAAACTTCCAATTCTTGAAAGTCTAGCGGCTCTCTCTTTTGCCGTGAGCTGCTCCTTCGCGTGAAACTGGTCGTATTTTTCATTCATCTCAAGCTCATCATCGTTCCCAAAACTGTAAGCTCTTGGTGGAGCCCTCAATGGGGAGGGCTTTTCCTTTACAGACGCATTTCCAATGGAATCCACGTCAATTGGTGCTGTGAAGTACTCTGTCTGCGGGTAAATTCTCCCGGATGGCGAATTGCTCGGCGACGTTAACGTGATTGGAGGAGTCTGTGGGACGCCCTGCTGTTGCTGGTGTGCTGCTGCTGCCACAGGATTCTTTGGTGCGTCATCGTGCGAGCGCAGGCTGAACGTGTACCGGTTATTCAGATCATCCAAAGCTTCACCAGACCCAAATCGCACTCTGTGACTTGACCGTACGGCAGCAGCGACTGGGGGAGTTGTACGTTCACCGCTGGCGCTTCCGGGGCGGCTTGATGCCGCTGACGTTGAGTTTGCGGCGGAAAGGTCTGGTGAGGGTCGTAGTTGGTCGAAAAATGGGTTTTCGCCGCTGCCGTTGGCGGGCGAGGGAGACGTTGGTGTGGTGTTCTTCGACATATCTTGACGAGTCAAGATTTGTCCTAAAAGTTTTCTGCAGTTGTAATAATTGAATTTTGTAATATATTCGAATAATGTGTCGTTTTATAATTAACTAGTAGTCGACGCTATGCGGTGGTGAGAAATAACGACTAATAGTTGCTGTGGGTATTCTATAAACGAATGTCCTCTTTTAGTAATTGATGGATGGAAGAGACGGAATTGAAGAGGTCTAGATGAAGTAGGTATATGTGTAGAGTGAGAGGGGGGGTGGGGGGTTGATAATAATAGAGGAGAAGGGTCGAGGAGGAGAAGGAAGTAGTGGAAGCCGGCTGTGATTATGGAAGGGACTAGTAATTAACAAGAGAGCTCACCAACCGTAAAAGTGTACAATGGGAAATCCTTTGATATGATGGTGATGGATACTGTAGCGGGAATCCTCTGACGACAAAACGCGAGCTCTTCCAAGATATCTATATTCCCGGACATGTATGCTATGGACATCGCTTCATTTAGGCTCTTTTAATCAGAGACAGACCACCATTCCCTTCCACTCCACTGCTGCAAGCAACTTGGTTTTCTTTTCTTTTTGCAAGTAAATTCATACCCACCCGTCCCCGTTCACCCCCCCAGAGGCTGCGTCAGTTTAAGGCGATCTCCTGCCCAGTCAAGCAGCAATAAAAAGGAAATCCGGAATTCATAGGCTTTCCAACAACAGCATCCCATCTTACTTCATACGGCTCAGCTAGCCCAGGAGTTGCGTGCTGCCCTTTCCATCGTCTCTCACTCTCACTCTCGGCCACCAACCTTCCAACAGTGCGCTGCCGCGCCAAAACTGGTAACAAATTTTCCTTGATCGTTTTTTAAATCCCTCCAAGCGTTGTCGGCTGCCGAAAAGGTGATCCACTGAGAGGAGTGCCCATTGTGGCAAAGTTAAGTCACGGAAAGTCAGGGTAGATGATAACAAGACCCCGAAGCATGCCTCTCTAGCGTAGAACACTCTACTTCGATTTCACCACCACCACTACCACACACACCCCAACACCACCATAATCAACCACAACCACCACAACCCCAGAGAGAACTTTCCATCTGCAGTAGTGATGGGTCAAGTACATGTACAGTATCCGGTAGAATTATTGCGAAAGTCAGAACTAAAAGGGTGAGTTTCTTGGCTCGTGCTCACTGCAAAAATTCCTTTGAGGGCCAATGGGACTATCGGGTCACGGAAAACCCACTTTCGCATTAATTCTACCACAATCTGTATGTACCCACTTACATACCGCCTGGATGATCCTTTCTTGGGAGCCCTGCCATCTTGACTTGGCTGCTGAAGCGATTTGTGACCCGGAGATAGCATGTATGTAGATGTCGGTACCTTTCATATGCCTGTCTGTCTACAATTGCTTGCTTGCTCACTGCGCACTGACCTGAGCTCGTAATAATAATAATACTCCCACATGGCATGGCTCGCTCTAGCTAGGAAGTAGCTACCTGATCACTGTAATCTCAATCTCAACAAGATGTCAAATATTGAAAAGAGTGAGAAAAAAATTTCTCAACAACAAACGAATAACTACTGAGCATGCCCCTGACACTTTCTATTAAAGGTACAACCTCCTGCCCCGTATCGCAGTAGAGATAGGAGAGTTCACTCTAAAAAAGCCACGCACACGCAAGGGAGAGCCCGTCTGTCCGTCCGCGGCCGCCGTCCTCGGACGTTCTCTAATATCTCACTCGTTCCCAACGAGCTTCAAAAGAAAATAAGAAAAATTATACTCAACGCGCGCCGCCATGACACTGAAACGAAACCCACGTCTTCACCATATTCCTGGATCCCTCCTCCTTCTCCTTCGTTTGTCTTTCGCTCTTCGTCTGAACTTGTGGCTGGGTTACTACTACCTAATATACTACAAACGACCAGTCATGATATGTGTATGCAGTATATACGTACCTCACCCTAGATACATGTTGTGTGTATCATCTCCTGCTCTACATATCCACGCATCGCATGAAAAGTCGATATCATACATCAAGTGTATGTACGCAGCAGCAGTACCTCAACGTCGTTCATCCACCCCAATCATCCAACCATTGCACACATCCAGCGCTTCGAAAAAAGTTCTTCCGAGCGCCACAACCCTACCCTACCATACAAATCCCATACCCACCACCCCCTCCCAATAATAGTAATTACCTCGGGCTGCAACCACTCTCCCGGGAATCTTCGATAACGCTTCCTTCCGAGAATGCCCCTTGCAATTTACTATCCACCACACACCTCCCCCTCGAGGCTCTTTCTTGCGAATCAAAACCACAACCTTATCACACACCTCACTCATTCACACCGGCGCCCTGCAACCTGTAAATTGTACATGTATGTATGTAGTTGTAGATTCCTAGAGTGGGTGAGTAGTCAGTAGAGTAGTTCTAGAGTCTGACCCCCCTCCCCTCCCCTCCCATCCCATGTCCCCTTCGGAGGACTTCCAGGTACCCACTCACGGCGGCGCAGCATACTCCGTCGCGGCGGGCAGGGAAGCAGAATTTTTCCGCTATGCACCCTTAGGGCTGCGTCGCACGCCACCAGACAGAACACGGATAAACCCATGAGCTTATTCCAGCGCGAACATGCGAGGAAGGAGAAAAGCACACACAACACACACCACCACCACTCACCACACATTCATAAAAAAAAAAGAGTCGTTTATCTTAGAACCCTTCCCTTCCCTACCGCACGTCCGTGTCCGTGCCACTGGGTTTGCTAGTTGCAGGCGAGAGGAGGAATTCACAAACATCCTGGAAGCGCTGAAGTAGCCCCCCACGCGTGTTGTGATTGGGTGCGAACCACCTCATAGGTACCGATGACTGACTGAGTGCCGGTGTTTATAGTGGTAGAGTAGGCAGTTGGATAGCGTATGGGCAATCGTTTTGAATCATACTGCGATATCATGATCATGGACCACCTGGCATGGCAGGCAGGTGGATATATCTACATGTATGTACCTGGGTACATGTTGCCTACTCTAGTATCGGCATATATCTGTATGGAACACGATCCCGTAGCTAAATTTGCGGTACCGTATTTGATGGGACACACCATGGTGCCATGTCCATGCCATGGGTCACAGATATTGAAACCAACTAATCACAGTCGTAATTGCATGTACATACGCTCGGTACTCAACGGGTTGTTGCTAGGTTTCGACTATCTCTCTCTCTCTTTTTCTCCCTTCTCCTTACTACACGAGCACAACACAAAGGAGGTACATACATGCCTACATAGACGACGACGCTCAGACGAGATAAAGATTTGACATGCGCTGGCGCTGTTGTCGTATCAAGGGGAAGCAAGGGGCAGGAGATATCGATCGAGAGAGAGCATGCCCTTTTTTTGCCTTTCTTTGGAGCGGCGTGATAAGATACAGATACCTCGTCGTCCGCAAATGGACATTTGAAGACTTGGCGACGGTAAATGTGACGGCGACGATCGGAGCCCAAGGAAGTTTTCAAAGTAATCGGAAGAAAGAAAAAAAAGCGGGGAAAGTAAATCTTTGTTAGTTTCTCTCTCGAGATACACGAACATGCACCGCCAACAGCTCAGTAGAGATGATAGATCCCACCTGGACAGCGATCCATACAGTCCCGTTGAGGTTATTGCATCAACAATCACCGCCATCCGGAAACGGTCCCGCAAGGGGAGCGTAGGGCAGACAGGTCATTAGGGCTGTGAAATGGCAAGATCGGACTCAAGCCATACCAAGAGCCCTAACCTGGTGATTTTTGCATACATCACGAATTCGGAATCCGGAATCTCGCCATGGGAAGAGGAAGAAAAAATACGGGATGGATCATGGGAACGGAATCTTTTGTTGTTGATGGATGAACGGATCCCATTCAATAGATCTTCAAGATACCGCCGGCATTTGGATTCGGTTCTTCTTTCTCTAGTTAATTGATGCATGCCTGATTAGGGCATCTTCCCGAGGATGTAATGCAGATGTTCTGTACATATACATGAAAGGTTTTAAATGGCGGTGTTTAGGAAGATCCTGTTACGGGTGATGTTGCTGCGGCAAAAAGTGTACATACAAAATAATGTTTGTAACTTTGAGGTTCGGGTATCCGAAGTGTATAGCTGACTTCTGGAAACTCTGACCGGGAGGTCTAAAGCAAGCCACTTTCGCGTCATCATGACTCCATATGTAGCGTCCCGAGAGGCGGCTCGCCGAAGATTGGGGAGGAGGACATGCCACTAAAAGTCCGACGGCATACAGCAGGAAGCAGCATTCGGGCCCAACCGCCTGCACAACGGCTACCCGCCGAAGATTTCGGTGAGTGTGCGTGAAGGCGTTTCCAGAGGCCATGGCCAATGGCTGATTGGTTCATCCAAAACCAAGGTCTTGAGCCAAACAATCTCCGTTGCCGGGATCGGGGATTGGAAGCCAGCGAGCGAGCGTCTCGGAATAAATGACATCATGCAAAGACGGGCATTACCGGGGGCCACCAAGTTTCGACGGACATTGCGAACCCTAACGGCTAGCCCTGGGGACTTTGTGTGTTCGCTCCCCCCCTGCTCTGGCCACCGAGAGGGAATCTCGGGTGTGTTACCAAAACACGGGAGGTGGCACGGGCCTTGGTTCCTTCCCTCGATCTCCAGGTTGAGCCAGCAAGGATTAAGCTTTTGTTTGTGCCTCACTCATACCTACAGACCGAACATTGTGGAGATCACAGATGACATTCATCGTTTCCTTTCTATCCCCTCTCTCTGATGAGCGTCAAAGCCTTTGGATTGGGGTATTGCGGGGGTTATCCAGGAAACCCCAATGGCAATCGTTCATGGTTGATTCACACTCTTCCTTTCCCTCCATCTTGACTCTGATGTCACCATCATCATCATCATCATCATCATACACCTGGCAGGATCGATTGATTGTGTTCAGTAGATGGATACCAAACACAGCTCTTCCAACCGTTGAGGTAGGTGGAGTACGTTTGGCCACTGATTCAGCCATCCAGTATTG